GTTCTGCACGATCTCTGGTTCTGCTCGATCTCTGGTTCTGCTCGATCATCTGTGCTAAAAACGATCACCAGTTTTCTGACTGGATCTCGGAACTGCAGAACGTCAGAGACAAACCAAAGTGGAGGTTTTTGTTTGCTTTAAATGGGTTCATGGCCCGATTCTGGTCGTCTGTTAACACGTTCTGCTTCACGGTTCCTCTGAGGTTCTACAGAGAACCTTCTGGTACCATTTCACACAATACAGTACAACTTTATTTATAAAGTACTTTAAAAACGTTGGCCAAAGTGCTGTGCACTAACACATCCAAGCATAAAACCTATGAAATCAGCTGAAACTGCAAAAGTAATGAACTGTTCAAATATTTAAACAGTAAAAACAATAAAAACAAATAAATTAAAAACAGTAAAACGCAACATTTCAAGCTGAGTTAAAAGCCAAAGAGTAAAAAAAAATGTCTTCAGAGAAGATTTAAAAACAGGAAGTGATGTCAGAGGCAGCTCGTTCCACAGTTCAGGGGCACCGGCTGAGAACGCTCGGTCACCTCTCTGCCTCCTGTTGGACTTTGGGACGAGCAGCAGCAGCAGCAGCAGCAGCAGCAGCAGCAGCAGCAGCAGCTGACCTGAGAGAGCGTGAGGGAACAACAGCTGGAGCAGGTCGGACAGATGCTGTGACACCATCCTTCAAAATTAATCCAGAATTACAGTAGTCCAGATGAGTTGTGATGAAAGCATGGATTAAAATCTCTAAATGATGTTGAGAGAAATGGTTTGACCTTGACCAGTTGTCTCAAGTGATAAAAGCTGGACCTGATCACTGGTTTAATCTGTGCATCTAATTTAAAATCATTGTCAGTCTGATGTGTTAACTACAGCATGGACTTTGGAACCATCACTGGGCTTAAACATCAAGACCTCAGTCTTCTCCTCATTAAGTTATGTGACACCCATGCTCTGACTTCTGCCACACATTCCAGGAGTTGGTTCATGGAGTGCTGTTGATCTTGTTTTAATGGAACATAAATTTGGCTGTCATCAGCATAAAACACGTGTTGGAAAGATTAAAGAGGGTTACAAGAAATACAGTTCTGGTTAAACCGCTTCGAGCTCATTTATGTTTGTGTTTGCTTAAATAAAAAACCACATGGCAGGTGAAGATTTTGAACCATCTTTATACCTGCGAGGGTGCACGAGGACAACATACATGCATATAATGCCACAGAATGAACCCAGAACCTGGTCTTCTGTTGATTTTTATAACATATCGTAACACACAGACATTTCAGTGAGTGTTTCTCCGTCTCGTCTGGGCAGATGTGAGCGCAAGTCGTCCTCCACGCCGAGATAACGAGCATCAAACGAGAGACGGCAGCGCAGGAAGTGCTCAGGCAGGAGAGCAAGATGCTCTGACACAAAATAAAACATTCATAACCCATGAACAAAAGTCTTCTCTAACATATTCCCCATGCTTATTGGTTTTAAATAATTTTTTAGTTCTTGCCAGTATTGATGGACCCCTCCCAGGTCAATCAAGAGGAAAGTGTCACATTGCACTGTTGCCTCAGTGGCGGCCCCTTACGGTGCAGTCATCATCTCAGCCCCGTTCATCTACAGACGGCAGCCTCTCTCTGAAAACAAAGGTTTCTGAGGCCAGGTCTCAGAGCGGAGAGTTTTGGTGGAACAACCCACTATGGTGTGAAATGCTCCAAGTGTGAAGTTGCACATGCACAATCCAGGCGGCTGCAGTCCAAAGTTTTTCTGCTCTAACAACAGTTATAATAAATATAACAACAGTTATAATAAATATAACAGTTATAATAAATAACAACAGTTATAATAAATATAACAACAGTTATAA